TTATACTACGACAACGTTTTTTTATAATATAAGTCGTAATTTAGTTTATTTCTTCTAATATTTTTTTTTTAAATACTGAAAGCAACAGTCAATTAACAGCGTTAAGAAATAAAAATCTCTGTGAACTTTAGTTCGTCTTAAAAGTCGAAGAAGCGAAAACAGTTATTTTTTAAATTCTTTTCAAATTGAAATAAACAGAGAAAATCCTTTCTTAGGATTTGCGTTCAGCTCACCGCAAAGGTAATTACTGAACTAAAAGGACCGTAGCTAATACTTTGTTTGGCTTCAATATTTTCTTGTTAACCTTTTCTGAGCTTTTTGTAAGTCTTAAAACCTTTTTAATGGTTAAGAATGCTGAAATCTCATCTTAAAAATAATTTAACGATTCTTTTAGATGTATTATGAGTTTTGTGAACGCGTTAGCACTTGTTTATAGTCACTTATTCATTCACACGAAGATTTTGGCTCTACAATTTTTATCTAGAGAATAATTTATTGTTAATATGTAGTATTTTAACATAAAAATGTTTTTTTTTATCTATGTTATTTTTTATAAAGTAGATAATTTCTAGAACTTCCTTCTAATATCACTGAGAAACACTTTAAACCGATCTATATAAAATATCAACACGATGTTATAAAATCACCAAATGCAAACCATATTTTTAAGCAAGACTGTGTATAATTAATTTTAAGATTAGAAGTTCTTATGTGTGCGTTCCTTTTTGGTAAACACTTAGTATCTATAACATAATACAGTAGACAATCACTTAGCGAGTGTAAGTCGCTATAAATATTATCTGTCAAAGGGTGGAAAAAAACATCTCCCCGTTCTAATAACATCGATGTATGGGAAGATTTATTCCAAACTCGAAAATTATACGTTGTGAATGTGAAAAAACAGTAATAATAATCATTTTAAAAATCCATATCTCATTATAAGTAATTTTATATACCTCTTTTTACTTCAGCAGCAGTGTTGCACTACTTACTTTTACAAAATGTTTGTTATTCGATGGTTTATTGTTACTCGTATTACTACATAGTATTAAAAAAGTCGCTTTTTCCGTCCCAATGTGCGCTGAAATCTTTAAACTTACGCAACTGATTTTTGACGCGGTTTTTGTAATTAATAGAGTGATTCATGAGTAAGGTTTTTATACACAACGTTCACAGTTTTTCTGTGGTGTATTTAGTATTAGCATAGCATCAGAGCGAAGCCGGGCGGGTCGCTAGTATTTTTAATAAAGCTGTAATTTTCAGTATCAATACTAACGAACAATAAACAAAATATACATTTTATAAAATATATCTATGAAATAAAACTATTCTATTTAAAAAGTATAAACAATAAGTATACTCTAGAAATCATAATGTTATTGAAAATAACGCTTTTATTGCAGGCAGTATAGGCTACAAGCTAACTCAGTTTTCTTTTAAAAAATAAACCTTTTATGTACAAGTATTTAAAATGCAAGCAGCATCTACCATGTTTTTCTCGTAGTTCTTAACGCTAGTAGCTATTATGGTATTCTTTAGTTTTATACCCGTTTAAAAATAATTATAGTAATATGAAATGAATTAAGTCTTTGAAGAGCTTTTGGCGCTTAAACGTTGAAATGCAAAGACCCATGAAAACCTAGCGAATTTATTTTTGTACAAAACCGCGTTTTATTTCTGAGTTACCTTTGATTTTGAAGTACACAGTGCAGTTTATATATTTTAATAAATTGTATAAAAATGTTTGTACGCACAGCTCTGCTTTACATTTGTTTCTATTGTTTAATTATATCGGTCTTTGCTTAGGCATTAATTAAAAAAATTTACTAAATCTATGTTTATACCGTTAAGTGACAAAATTCGTTCAGCTAAATTAAAAAAAATATATAAAAATTTTAATAAAATTGAAACTACCCTTTCGACGTTTCGAATGTTGCCTGTTACAAAGCATCCGAAACGTCGGGACGTAGCTAAAAATATTTTTCAAACAAGTTTAACTAAAATATATCACGTTTTAAACTGGTAAATAATTTTATTTAAAAACCCTTATACTCATATCATTTCTCTAACACCTCTCAACACAACTACTAACCTAACAGATTTAGAACTGCAAGAGATATCTTTCATAAAATAAGTGGTAAACAAAACATAATTAAGTGCCATCGTGAGACCGATATACGTGTTATAAAAATCGTCCTCCATGTATATTTTGAAATCCTATTTCCCCGATTTAGAACAAAGTAAAAAATCTCTGTGCTCTGCTTGAACGAAACTTTGAAAAACGAATGAAATTTATCATGTTTTCCCTGGATTCGAACGACCTACCGACTTCTCGTGTCTAACGAAATTAAAACATTGTACCACGATGGTACATACAGGGTATCCAATAACGTTGAATATGAAATATCTTATATACAATTTTCGCATATGAATGTGAAATGTGAATAATTTCGAAAGTTTCATATTAAAACATCTCTTAATATTAAAATGTGCCTCTCATACAGCGTTGACTGAATTATATTGAAAGTGATAGAGTGATATTATTCTTCAAAGTGATTTTCACGTAAAGTGATGAATATAAGAACTTTATTGGAAAGCATATTATCTACTTGAAGTCTATACTAAAATTATAAGTAAAATAGACGTAAAATTTTGACCGAAAACTGACTTTTATTTTAAGATATAGGAGGATAGGCAAGCATTCACTTGAGCGTAGGTGAAATATCTCAGCCTTATAACTAAGATCTTACAAGATGCTTTGCGACCTATTTTGGTTTTGGATATTCGGATATCCATAGATTGAAACCAAAACGCAAGTAGACTTGACGGTTTTTTACGGCATTTCGATATCCCTACCGCCAATCTATTAATATCCAGGTATCTAGTCGTTTAAAATTGTTCAGGTAAACTTACAAATTTAAAAAACATTTGAACCCGGTTGGGATCGAACCCACGATTCGTTTATTATACATGCATACATACATACATACATACATTGTCTATTACACTTACCCGTTAAGTGAAAAATTGAATGAGAATTCATTGAAAAACAATATAAGTTTTTAAAAATAAGACAATTTACTATTCAAGCTCAATTGCTAAAAAAAATATAATTTAAAGCAAATATTGAAAAAAGAAGAACATTTTGAGGCTTCTATATATAAGTACACCGCACTTATTACGCATCGATGAATACAATTTATGAAAAGTGTTTCGAATGAAATTTGAATAATTCTGCAAGGGGAGTCTTTTAATTTTATAAATTTTGCGTATTCTTTCTCGCAGCATTAAATAGATTCTTTGACTTTTTATTGTTCTTTCATGTATCGACAAATGTCTTATTATAATTGTAAAGTTGCTTTCATGGTTTATGTAATGGAAAGTATTTGTTTAAACTACATACAATGTAATAATTATAATTAGCGTTTTACTTTACATTCTAAAGGTTTTTTAAACTTTTAGCTAAATGATAATACTACATTTAGAATTGTCTTTATGACATCGCTCACCGTACTAAAAATACCAAACTTTCAGAATTTGCTCCCATGGACATCAAGTCTAATATCAATCCCTTGTGTGTTTTTGACCCTGAGATGTTTTAAAATCTAAATTGTCCATGTACTGGGTTGGATGGAATACAAAAACAAAGGCAAAAAAAAGTGTAAAAAACAAACTTGCCCCACATTTAAGTGCATGTTTTAATAAATTATTAGCGCTAGGGATGTTTCCTGATACGCTTAAACTAGCCAAACTTCGCGGTTCATAAATCAGGCTTGAAAACAGATTTTAGGAAACTACAGACCCATATCAGTTTTACCCGTAATATCAAAAATAAAGTTATTTACAATAATTGGTTCCAAAATAATTTGATAGACAAAATGGCTTTCGATCCAGAAGCAGCACACAGACTGCTACCATTGATCTTACCACAAGAATAAAACAAAATGGAACAAAAATATTGTTAATGAATTTATATCCAAAGGGATACAATTAATCACAATTTAGAAAAAAAAAAAAAAAAAAAAAAACAAAAAGGGAATGGCAAAATCTTTTAGATCATATTTAACGATAATCATATAAAAAAAATAGACAAACATCAAAGTAATCCATCCCTAATAACATGTGGAATTCCACAAGATCAATTCTAGGACCTTTGCTGTTCTCAGTCTATATCAACAATATCCAGGAACAAAATCTAACGGCCACTACTTTATGCGGATGATACTTCTTTTATTTTGGATCACTAATAATATTAAAGCGCAATCTGTCTAATAAACTAATTCCAAAATTTATTAACATAAAACGAAAAAGTACATAATTTTTAACTAATAAATTCCATCACACCCCTCTGAAAATTAATAATAAAATTTAGAACAAAAGCAATTGAAAAATATCTAATAATCTAGACAGTAATATTGATAGTCATATCGAGAAATTAAAGTAAATTTCCTCAATTTAACCATACAATTTTTTCAATTGCGATATACTATATACAATACCTAATAAACTATTTCTATACTTGTGGAATATAATCAATATCAGAACTACAAGACTCAAAACAAGATTATAAAAATTATTTTTAAATTACCTTATACAATCAACTAACAATATAATAAACTAAATTACTTAATTTAAATCAAATTAATTATAATATATGTACATTTATCTACAAAAATTACTAACACAAAATGAAAAACTTTAATAAGAATAAACAAAATAATTATAAACGAAGTCTTCGCCGCGCAGTTATCTTATCTTGCCAAAATAGAACAATTATGACACAATTTAAATTCATGGACACAGTTGTTTAACAATCTCCCATCGACTATTGCCGAGTTTCAAGAAACAACTTTTATCCTTTTTACAAACAACGTAATCGTAATTTATAAATAATTTCTTGATTGACGGTAAATTTAAAATTAGTTTAATCTAGTAAGGATTATTTTTTGAAAATATTCTTTAACTTACTATTAAAAATGTCTATCTTACGATTTACACTGTTAAGAATGTGAAGTGTCGCATAATTGGGGAATAATACATAAATTTTGTTCTCGCGGGACTGATGGCGTACTAGAAAAGCTGTTGGCTTGAAGCACCATGGGGTCACATGTGATGCCTCTGAGCACCTTGAACAATACGTGGCCATCGTGGTGCGTGCTTCGAGCTTGCGTATCCAAAACCATGCCTAAAACGAATAATGTCGGATACATTAAGGTGTAGTAAGGATACACCCCGTAATGCCTTTCGTATAAGTGTCTCGTAAAACTTATTTTGAATACGCCTAACATACCACACAATGGCGTTGGATTGCAGCTGGCTTCTTACTAATGCGTTATACAGCACTGTAATGGCTCTGGTACTGGTGAAGGTAGACGCTCTCCGAAGGACATAACCCAGTCGCTTATAAGCTTTTATACAGACGCCGAATATGTGGCCTCTAAACGTGCATCTTGCGTCTACGGTAAATCCGAAATTACGCCCAGATTGCACTCATTCCAAAGGTGTGCCTCGTTGTTTTACCGAATTGGATCTTTTGCTTTAGTAAATGTGATGACGCATGACTTAAATAAATTCAGTTGCAGCTTGTTATTTTCGCTCCACGTCTCTACTTTATCTATATAGCTAATTCGAACACTTTAGCAATTGATGATAAAAATGCAACAGATCTGAACGAGTTTTACCGCCGTCGCTTCTAGGAATCCGTACAACCCTAGCAGTTTTCCAGGTGTCCTGGAAGTGTGACCTTTCAATGTGAATCCGAGCACTAACACCACCGCTCGCCCTCACCGCTTCGTCAACATCGAGTCTCGCCAATTCGTTATAGTAACCAGAATAAAAATATTTCGCAAATTCGCGATTTAGGTTCTTTAATTAAATTGTTTTGAATTCGTAGTTCGTATGTGTTTGTTAGATTAGCCTTAACTCTCTTTCGACAAAATGCAAATGCGTTATAATCCGTATCCGATTGACTTAATTTATATTTATGCTACTACATAGATAGCTATATTTATGATTTTTCGCGTTAGACATTCTAGACACATGCTTATCTAGACTGTTATTCAAAATATCATATAACACTGTGAGGGCGTCCGGGTTCCGCATATTATAAACGCCACCCCAATTGACGAGACTCAGTGAGTGAAACAAAATTGCTTTTTAGAAATTCCAAGATAATTTACTCTTACCTGCAGCCCGTCGTATCCTGGTACAGCGGGGGTAGTGCAGCTCAATCACGAATGGCGGGTGGTACAGGTCCAGCAGCACCAAGGGCTCGTCCGCCTCCTTCATGAACACTTTATCCCACCAGTATGACGAGCACAACACTAGCTTATAATTTCTAACAACTTCACTAGTAGAATACAAATTAAAATCGCCTATAAATAACACTTTTTCGTATTTTAAACACAGTCGTTCTAATAAACGTAAGCAATTCTTCATTTATATAATTCATCAACATCATAAATCATTTATATATTAAATTATTGATTCTCACTGATTTTAGGAGGTAGATACTACGAAACACAATAACAATAATTTGTCATTAGACTGAACGGTCGCACAGAGTAGTTCGAACGAGTGGCGATCTACCGTGACGTCATCTAGTTCGCATCGGCTCACTCTTTGTATTCGTGAATCGCGCGCGGCCACTAAAAATGCACCGCGTCCGTCAGTACGGTCGCACCAAATTATTTGGTACCCTGCCGGTATAATTTTGCCGTCCATTATCGAGTCGTTACATCCAGTTTCCATAATAGAAATGATATCAGCTTCTAAATATTCTATGTTGCTACAAAAACTGTTCCACTTAGTTCGAAGGTCCCTGGCATTCTAATAATAGATCGTTAAATAAGCATAATTCTTGCTATGCTTTTTGGTTTAGGAAACCAATACCACAAGAAAACGCTGCATGAATGGGCCAAACTTTCGGCTGGCATAACTTCTGATACACCGATTCTGATTCAATTAAGGTTTCTCTTCTCATCGCGAAATGAATGAAATGAAATGAATTCGTATTGTGTTTGTAATCAAAAGATTGTCGCTGAGCTAATTTTCGTAGTTTTCGTGGCCCCACTAGTACGCGGTACAATACAATCGCCTACTTGCCTCGAGATTTGAGCAATTTTAGCAAATTATGGTGTTGGTATATTTTCTATCCGCTTTTCCGACATGTCCTCGGTACAAGTAGACTGCACATTATTTAGATTGAGAGCACGATTTGATATTTCCACTATTCTCCTTATCACTTTGTTCAACTACCGACATATACTTCGTTTCAATTTCATGCAATTCCGATTTCAGAGAAATACACTAATTTTCCTGAAAACTTGGTATTTGAAGGCTCGCTTTTGAAGATGGAAATTTACTAAGATTATTTTTAACAATTACTCAAATCGACCTACTTTTCCTTATTTCCCATTCCGTTTTTTTGCAGGTTAACCCCGAGACAAAAGAAACAAATTATTAATAGTAAAATAATGTTCACACTATAATAGAGGATTTAGACTTTTTAAAGATTGTCATTATTGAGTTTGTGACTATAAACTGGGCATTTTAAGTCTTTGTAACCTTACGTCTTTTTTCGTATTCTACAATACAAGGTTAATAAATAAGGCCGCCCGTTGCACTTCATAGTTTTATTTTTAGTATTGTTGAATAAAGAGATAATTAAATAATAGAAATCAATGGAAATTTATTTGTGTACACACAATACGTTTTGTATAATATTATAATCAATGTGTAGGCGATTAAAAGAGCAATAAATGCCCAGTCATTTCTACGTCTATTCTCACTTTAAAGTGACCTCGATTTTAAAATCGATAGCGATACTATATAACAAATATTATGTCCCCAATGGCGCTGAATAGAATTCGGCTCACCAATTATTATTATTGACACGTCCAATGGAACGATTTGATTTACTGTGATATAATTTAATTGGTTCTATCTCCTTGCTATTGTTTTTTTCTAAGATATATTTTCAGTTTACGGGGTGAAGATTGATTTTATTTTTAATGATAGAGTACGGACAATTACGTGATTCTCTTAATGGTAGGTGAAATACCCAACCGTAACATCTAAACAAGATAGGCTGGCATCCCGTGACATTGGATATTCGGAAATCCAAACACGAAAAGATTCGAATCCTGGAAAAATCAACATCACAATGAATAACATATATTTGCCAATTAATAAAATAAATTAGTGCGTGAGACATTAAAATGTATCCGAAGTAATACGCGTATAGGAGAATGGGATTACACTTAGTAGGGGCATTACAGAATCGGCGTTCCGTTTACTTCCAGGTAAAGCTAAGGTGTCCTTTCACATACATAAAAATGAAATAATTTTTTTTTTTGTTTATATCCATGTATCGAATTAAATAGAATATGTTATTTTATTATTAAATACGTGTATTATTATATACCTATTTGTAAATTTTACAATAGTATATTTCTTAAAGTATAACATATAACTATTGTACTATTTATTTAAAAGTACTCATACAAAAATACCGTCACTCATATCTAGCACATTTAAAGTATTTATTTAAATAAAACACTTTAACGGTTTAAAACGCGATATATTAGTTAAACTTATTTGAAAAATGATTTTTAACTTCGGCCCGACGTTTCTGATGCCTTGCAGGAGCCGTGGTCACGGGGAGATATTTAAAGTAACAAAATTGTACTTGTTAACGAGAACCATTTATAAAGGAAAGTGGTCAATTGCTGATAGTTAACTCACCAATCAACGAAAGTGAGCGAAAAGGCTAACTAACGGACAGAATAGGCACCGCAATCATTCACCCAGCTTTATCTTCATCAAAAACATTGCACAATATCCAATTTGGGTTGCCTGGAAGAGATCGCTCGTTAGCGATAAGGCCGCCCATTGACTCCATATGTTTAGTAAAAGTTTATATTTTTGTTAATTTTTTTGTGCAAAAAGTGTAATAAATAAAAAATAAATATCCTGAGTGGTTTTTCAGTATGGTAGTTTGCTATCAAGTTTATGGGATAAATGTGCCGCCTCGTTATTTTCTTATTCACCGAGGGGTCTCGTTTAGTAATTTGGAGAAAAGTGTCTATGTATTGTATTTTTGAAGTAGATAAGTGTCTACATATAAAATACTGTCTGTAGTTTAAGCAAGTAGTACACGATAAAAAAAAATACGGTTTAAAACGCGATTTGTACTAGTTAAACTTAATAATATTATTAATTTATATAAAACACTCTAACGGAGACTGTCGCGTGACCACGGCTGCTGCAAAGCATCCGAAACGTCGGGCCGAAGTTAAAAATCATTTTCAAATAAGTGTAACTAATATATCGCGTTTTAAACCGTTACAGTGTTTTATTTAAATGTGTACTACCTGCGTAAACTATATATAGTATTTAATATTATTAAGTTTACTAATAAAACTAATATAATAAATGTCTATATATTCCATTTTTAAAAGAAGACCGAGGATTTACAGTCATGGGTCCAACATTTGTAATGTTATTGATTTTATTATATTGTATTGTCATCTAAATTAAATGTGTGCACCAAATTTCAGATCAATATGACAACGGGAAGGTGCTTAAATTTTAATTTCTAAATTTGTCCCAAAATAAATAGATTCCGTACGGGTCGAGCTAAATAAAACCGTTTAAAAATACATTATAGAGAGACGCAAGTCCACAAAGCGTTCTACAATAAAATCATCAACAAAAACACCATTGCGATTCATTTGGCAGCTCGTACATGTTAAACTACTCGAAAAATGAATTCGTATTGTGTAGGTGCACAACTGCATCAATCATTTAGATATTGTTTTTACATCCGGCGCGTAATTGATTGCTACGTGATATACGGTATCGTTTTTCCATCGCACTCGTAACTTTAATGGTTATTCTTGTTACTACAACTTCAAAGCTCGTTAGTGTCGAATTAGATTTCAAGAAAGCTTTTACCTATTTACTTTGAGAATAGAGAAAAATACTATGTTCTCTAGAGGTCACAGTAAGTGTGAAAATTGCTCTATACATAGAGAGGCTTTTAAAAATAATTACGTGAAAACATATATCTCTAATAAACTATTATTTCAGTTGTAAATACGATGTGGAAGACTAGACTACTCAATTACCTGGAAAAGGAAGACATGCTAGCTAATAACCAATTTGGTTTTAGGCATAACAAATCGACAGAAGACGCAACTACTGCTCTGGTTGAGACTGTTAGCTCAAAATTGGACGAGGGTCAAAGGTGTATTGGTGTTTTTCTCGATGTAGCGAAAGCTTTTGACACTATCTCCAGACCAATCCTGTTGAAAAAAATGGAAAGATTAGGATTCCGGGGCAACATCCTAAACTGGTTCCGATCTTACCTATCCAACAGAAAACAAATAGTCAGAATAGATAGTTTAAAAAGCCTGGAAAAAGTAGTCTCCTACGGCTTGCCAAGGGTAGTGAAAAGAGTTCTCTATTTCTAATCTATATTAACGACTTATGTACAATGAAGCTTTCTAATGCAAGTTATTCTCCTTCGCTACCAGGCGATTATCTTTTATCACGTTCCTGGGAAAAGCCGCCCTCGTTGCCCAAACGGGTCTACCGTATTTCTAATGGCTCACCAATAATCTTCTTTGTTAATACAACAAAAACTAAATACATTTGTTTTAACATCTCTAAGGCAACTGCCCCAAACCAATCCCCCTATTAAACTCCATTCTTGTCATAACCCCTTCTCGACCTGCAATCCAACCATAGAATCGACTGATTCTATTAAATACCTGGGGTAATGGTAGACTCGAGGCTTTCTTGGGGTCCTCACATTAGTTACTGTGGTCCGAAAATTTCAAGCGCCTTTAAACCCTCAGTAAGGCGGCAGAGACTAATACTATTAGGACAGTCTATATAGCTTTATGCCATCTGTTTATGATCCAATGGGGGGTGCGGTAAAGGTCTTATGCTCAAAATAGAAGGGAAGGTGCTATCCTAAAAATTTCCCTTAGAAAACCGTTTCGGCATCCAACTTCAGAATTATACAAAGAATGTAATCTCCTACGTCAGGCAACTGTATATTATATCAACTTGTCGTCGCCAACTCAAAACGCCATCACAATCTAAAACATCCGAGCAAACATCTTTAACACAACGAAAAGTCCAATTCCGAACTCCACTCAAACACACCTCTTTTGCCCAACGATTTTTTACTTTTAAAGGTCCCTTCCTGCTTAACTTATTCATTAATAAAAATATAATTAGCCCACTTACTTCTTATTCTTCCCAATTAAATAAAATTAAAGTGTTTCTTCTAAAATTAAATTATACTCAAACAGAAAACTGTATTAAGGTAATTGCATGACAAAATGTTATCCATATTTTTAAGTTTATTTTTTATTATTTAAATACTTAGCATATAATAACTTTATAAGTACATAGTAGATACTAATTTTTCATTGTTTTTCTCGAAATGACCGGAAGAGTTAGGCCACGAAAGGGAATCCTAGTGTGGGGGTAGACACCCTGTAATGATATGTAAAGTTTTGGTGAATAAAGAATTATTTTATTTTGTTGGAAGATTCACTTTGTAAACCATGATATTCAGACTTTCATATTATATATAAAATTAAATAAATCCAGTGTTATTACTTTTGAAGTGGAACTTAAGTACTGTATTTGGTTTATGTAAGTAGTAGACAATTAAAGTGTTTTATTCACATTGGGGATACATAGCGTTAGAAATTTAATTTCTTTTGGGTTAG